TTCCAGTGGTGGGTTCTTGACCTCCTGCCAGGCTGAGCTGCAGGAGCTGATGAAGCAGATTGACATCATGGTGGCGCACAAGAAAGCTGAGTGGGAAGAACAGACACAGGGTTTGGAAGCTTGCCTGAGTGTTCGAGAGCAGGAACTTTCCTCTGCCAGGGCCGCTCTGCAGGAAAAACAGAAGGAGGTACTGTCTCAGGTTCATAGTTTCCTGATCAGTGTTGACCTGTGTGTTTTACCTGTTATAGTACAATATAAGCACTGAACTTGAATTTCAGAGTTTGACTTTGCATGGACGTGTGTTTTGGGTATTGTTTTGTCAGGTTTGAATTTTTTTTTTTTCATATTTAAATACTAAGCCAAAACAAGTGGTTGACTTTAACAAATAGCTGGGCTAAGCAAAGCAGGAGCCTGTCTCATAGTTGGAGATCAGGAATAGAATTTACAAAGGAGCCTGTTGGAACAAGGTGTCTGATTTGTAATTCAATCAAAGTCAAGTGATCAACTCCCTGTGGGTTGGTGGAAGTCCCCAGGTTGAATCGTCAGAGTTTCGAGAGGGAACCCCAAGACATTGGATCTGGATACAGTAGTAGACGACAACCCAGCAACATGCAGTCATTGGTAGAAAAAATATTTGGCAGTGTAAACTACGCCACAGTATTGCTGGGACATGCTCCAAGGGCTGTTTTATGCAGCTCAGGTTTTGCAGCCTGTAATTAAAGGCCTGGGCGAAGTGCACCAAATTGCTGTATTGATGGAGAAGTATCAGTAAGTGAAGTTTTTGCATAGGATGTGGACCATAAACTTTCTCTTGTGCAAATGAATTAATGTGTCTTTTCTCAGATCAAAGGAAAGCAGTAGGAGTCTGGGTGGCCATATCTTAAGATCTAGCCACACTGACTTTTTCTGAAAGTGTTTGAAATTTGTCCTTGTATTTATAGCTGCTGTGTCCTGTCTTTTGGCAGACTACTAGCTACAAATTGTGTTCTGGCAGCTCTCTGAGGCAGTTGCTTTAACTTCTTGGGTGGAAAGCCAGCCGATAACTACACAAGCAATTGGGTTTTTTGGGTGCCTGTACACCTATACTACAGCTATTCTTACATCCTCAGAATTACCCAAATACTGCAGTAGCTTCCAGTAATTTGGTGGGGAATCTAGTAAAATAAAGAGAAACGTGACAGGCACTAGCAGCAGTGGGTTAAGAACTCTGTGATTTCTTGTTAGTACAGTCAGGTGCTTCTCCTGGTCCGCATGGCAAGTTTTGGAATTAGTGTCTTTGTTACAAAGTTATTAAATCTGGAATCTTGCGACAAAATTGTTGTTTGCAAGAACTGTCATCTTTATGGGTTAGCGTTGTTATTATAAAATGTGTTTTTCCAAGATGCTTTTGAAATAATTCTTACCACCAAAAACAAACATTGATTTCAAAACTGAACTGTAAACTATGGTTAAAGTCACTGCTGGAGTATATTCATGCTTTTGGTTTACTCATATGAATTTTCTGTGATGATTTTTAATTTGTTGGCTTGCTGTTCTTTGGGCCTGTAGTTCGAAAGGTGGTGGCCACTTTGGGCTGTGGATGGGAAAAAGATGGGGAACAAAAAAAGACAAAAAGGATTCACAGGAGTATTTGAATCAGTGTAAGGGAAGTCTTCCCCATGAGTTTCAAATCCCCGTTTCTTTCTTTGTCCCACTCATCTCCGTGTATTATTTGAAATCTCAGCTTCACCTGAGCGTAGCAAGATAATGACACGGCCAGCTTTTCTCTTGGTAGATAGGTTGAAATCATAATGCATGTTTATGAAGAATTTGATGAAAATACCAGGTAAAAATAACCTTTTGACACAAGCTAAAACTGTCATTTTCATCCCAAAAAATGAAAGCCAGAAACTGGCTCAAAACAAGAGGCCAGAACAGAAACAGTTCTGGCCCCAGCCTAGCAAAGATTTAGGCATTGACTTAATCAGATTCATAGTGATTGACCCCATTGAAATGTGCAGTTGTTAACAGAATTAGGATCTCTTAATAGTCATTTACTACTCCTGCTATAATGTGTATTAGTGAAATGAAAACTAATCCCAGTACCTACTGACAATGAAGTGCTCTTCTGTTGTTTTATTTGTTTGCTTTTTAACTCTTCATTCAGGTTGACATGTTGCATCACCAGGTAGAAGACATGGAAAAAGCTAAACAGGACATGGCTACAGAATATGAACAACAGCTGAAGAAATTTCGAGAGGAGGTGAGCTGCAAAAGGAGAAGATTGGGTTTTAGTTCTTAGTTGTTATATGATCCGATAGTCGAAATATTTTTTGTCATTGCTTTTGTTTAAATGCCATGGTTTTATAACTTCCCACTCTTTTATTGTTTCTGTTCTTACAAAAAAGAGCATTGAGTGTAGACAAAGTAATATTTTTATGCTTCATTAAGTCTGTTTTTTTGCACTTCAGAGGAACTTGGTGACAAACAGAAAACTGTTGGCGTAGGAATGCGTAGTAAACGTATTGGTGCAATTTTCATGTGTTAGATGACTGCATGAGTTTACTGTGAACAAGTCCTGTGTTTGACCATCCTAGTCACCGTAGTGCTTGTTCTGAAGTTGACATGGGTACAGGCAGCAGAAGTTTGCTCCATCAGCGTTTAATGAAATTAGAAAACGGTGGTGGTGTAACTGGCCTTGATCGTATGAGATCAAGAGATGAGAATGGTATGTAGTCTTATCTTCTTTTTGCCTCCATTGCCTCCAATTTTAGTGGTAAGGGTTTTGTTCTCTCTAGGCATAGTAGTCTTAGTACACTTAATGAAAACTAAGTATACTTAGAATGTATTTTTTAAAAATAATTTCAGAGCTTTCATCTCAAAAAACTGCTTATTCACCGCAAGGTCGTACGTGTGGAATGTCCTGCAGGTGGTATAACAGCATTCCATGTTTATGCCTTAACTCTTTGCCTGCCTCCACCTGCTTGTCAGTAGCAGTGAGTTAAATGGCATGAACAGCTAGTAGAGTATTGACCTGTTTTCTCTGAAGGGTTGGGCCTAGTTCATGCTCCCTGTAAGTCATAAGTTGAATTAATTTGGTAGTCTCCGCTTTGATGACAGAAGCCATCTGTCCTCGTTTAAAACACCTTACTGTTCAGTGTGACTAACAGTCTTCATTCACTAGATGTTCACTGGAATTGTGGTTAAGCTGCAAAGCAAAGCTGAGGTGCGTTGGCAGGTCTGCCTGAATTGCTAAGGCTAAAATATGGGGGGTACGTAGTGGCCAAAATTGCAACACGTTGGTATTTTACCCACACAGTGTTAATGCAGATGACATTAAGCTCCAAGATTCCTCAGTCTTTGATTCTTAGTACTGTTTGGGGAAATTCTTTCTGTCTCAGTTTATCACCATTACCAGTAAAATTACATGTACAGTATCTAACTAACTGAGATTATTGAAATAATAAACCTGTAATCTCCTGATGTGTTTGGCAAAAGATGTTCGTATACAGCCGGTACGTCTGTTCCTGTCGAACATGCCTAAGTACTTTGCTGACTCAGGGCTCTGGAGATCCTTTGTGACCAGCACATGATGTCTTGATTCAGATGTTTTTTCTTCTCGTGGTCCTTCTTTTCATCCATGGGCTTAGCTTTCTCCATCAGTAAAATGGGAATGATGACTTCTCAATTTCATGTGGCTATTTGGAAACTTTTTATTTAATAGTTGAGCTGGGGGGGGAATCAGATGGAAAATTCTGTGCAAGTTGCAAGTGATTATTTGCACAGAGGGTCATTTAAATGTCAAGAGTTTTTTCCTCATTCGTGCTTCTGATATGACTTTAGCATTCTAGCAGTAGGCGTAGGAGTGATATTTTCTGTTGGCATTCTCCACTCATTGTGAAATACATAGTGTATCTAAGCAGAAAATGACAGATGAAGTAGTGTTGATACTAGGCATAATGGCAATTCTCAAATCTTCCTTCTCCCACTAAGCGGAAGAGTTCCCGTTACCACCTGAGCTTCACAAGTGTATTGTAATCACGTAAGAAACGGTGCTCTGTGTAGAACTAACCCCCACCCTGTGTGAGGTGTGGTGTGGCGTGCCCCTCTGCGTGAGCAGATCAGCCACAGGTATTGCCTGCTGTTGCTGTGGCTGGAAGCCACCTGTAGAGAAAAGAGGGGATGCCGTGCTCTTGCTGCATTAACAGCTGTGTGTAAACCTCCATCTTATCAATATTTTAGTCATGTTTTAATAATGGTAAGACAGAGGTCTAACTAGAGCTGCTGATGTCACGACTTCAGTGGCATCTTGCTACTCTGATACAACTCGGTATATTTTGCAATCCTGTTAGTATAATAGGCTTGTTATACAAATAGATGTCTTCACTTGCAAGCCGTATGGCCTTGATTAGGGGAATTGTTTGTGTGAAGCCATTTTGTGTGCATTCTTTCAAAGTGCTGTTTAATTCTTGCTTTGGGGCCTTGAACAAATTTGTCTCTTTCACTGAATTCTTTGCAGTTGTCCAGACTGAGGAGGGGCTATGAGAAGCTGCAGAGCAAACAACGTAGAGAAATCAGAGGAGAAGCTAGCAAGAGACAGGGGGAGGACGAGTCTGAAATGAGCCGACTGACCAGGAAGCTGGAGGTATGTAGTGAAAAAACAAATGCTGGTCACAGTTTGTATGTATTAACTGATTTTATGGGCTTTACTGATGAAGAATAGTCAGCTAGGAAGTAGACTATGAATCATGCTTAAAAAGCAGTCTCCATCTACTCTCGAAGTGTAGCTTCTCAACTGCTTGTGTAATAAAGGCAATTTTCTGTGTTGAGGCCTCTGAGTAAACAGGATAAACTATGCTGCTGTTCTTATTCCTAGACTAAATAAAAGGAAGAAGGTGCTGGAAGGGTAATTAAATTATCTGAATGAAATGAATTCCAGTGTGGTGAGGTTGTCATCTCACTTCTTTGAGGAGGAGGGAGCTACATGTCAAACTTCTTCTCAGCCTTGTCTCATCTTTTAATCTTTCTGCTATGCTGAGCTCAACAGCACTCAATTTTCTACTACTGTGCCCTGAAGATGTGGCTAACAAACACATCTGACTGATGTAGTGTCCAATTCCTGGAGCAGAGATTAGCATTAAAATTCTGTAGTTCATACTTGCAATCTTAGTGATTTCAATAGCAGCATGTTTTGGAAGCTAAAGACAGCCTAAATTGTTAAACCTCTGACAGCAAATCCATGAAACTAGCCATGAATCTGTTAGCACTTAACATTTGTAAACAGCAGTAATTGACACTGACGTTTTAACTCGGGAGGCAAAGAAATACAGCAAGCACAGTATGTGAGGGGTTTTATGCTGCTGAGATGGTGCATCAAATGACTGGCTAATGGTTTCCCTGCTGTGGGGAAAGGTGTGGGAGGATATGGTGGAGAGAAAAAGCAGACATGGATATGAACTAGAAGGGGGCCTTCTTGTCAACTACATGGACACACTGCTCCAAGCCACCCCTGCTGTCCTTGCAGGAATTTCATCAAAAATCACTTGACTGGGAGAAGCAGCGCTTGCTTTACCAGCAGCAGGTGGTATCGCTGGAGGCACAGAGGAAGGCTTTGACTGAGCTCATGCAGGTACAATTAATATGTGCTGAAAGTTTTTGTTTTGTTTGTGGCAGCAGGTGGGAGGGAAGGGAGGGGGGAAGAGGGAGAGATTAATGAAATCTCTGAGGCTTGAATCCAGTTTAGGTTGCCATTGAAATGACTTTTAATGTCCCAGTGGAATAAAGTTCACTTGTATAAGTGCGGTATGGAAAAAAGAGCTGGAGTCTGTCAACAGAGGTTAGATAAACCTCGTGCCGCTCTCCCTACCTCTCCTGCACCCCTCTAATTTATAGGGAAGATAGTAGGATGAAGCTTTCCCTAGGAGAGAAGAGACACCTCGGCATATGACACTTTAAAATAGCTGTTACGTCATGTTGTGTCGTTCAAAGCTGTGTACCTGCCGGTAGCTAAATATATACCTTGTAGGTCCAGCTCGGAGGATGATGCTGGAAAATAGTCTACCCCTACAACAGATACCTCTGCAAAGTACTGAAGTAACAGCAGTTTTCAGCACCAACCCCTTCTCCCTTTTTTTTTTTTAAAGTCGCTTAAAGGCAACAAGTAGTGGGGCTGCTGTTCCTGAAAAGCTAATCGTTCAGTGAGTTAGTGGTGCTGCGACAGAGCAAGATGAATTGACCTAGAGCACAGCTGTGAAGTCACACTGACACAATCACAGCAGACACTGATAAGAAGCTCTTGCTGGGTCTTTACGCTTAATGGGCTCTTGAGTTGCTCTTGAGTGGAAGCTCCTGCAAGGAGGAAGCTTGTGATGCCAGGATTGAAGCTGGCTCTGACAGGGGCTTTGTGAGAGGCTGACACTAGTAGATCTACAAATGCAGAGAGAGGCGTTGAGCAGAAGGTCTTGCTGCTCTGCTGTCTTTGTATCATTGATAGCTCAATTGTCTGAGAACAGATGTGTCCTTGGAGTGCAGGCTGGTATACTGGAGCGCAGAGGAACTCTTCTTACTGTGCAGCAGAAAAACAGGAATTTGAGGAGATTTTCCCTAAGCGATGTAGATGACTTTGCTGCGTAGATGCTGTGAACAGGCTGCCTGAATCCTCAATTTCTTTGACAAGCCCAGCATGAAAGTGCTAAATTTTGGCCTTGGATGTTTCTATGCATTTTGTGTGCTTGGTTGTTTTTCTGGCACAAGGTCAAGCTGAGATCTGTGACCAAGGAGTACTTCCCCTTTCTCTTCTTTCAGCTGGCTTCCTCTCATAACTTTCAACGCAGCTTAGGGAAGCCTGGCATTCTTACCCAGTGATGAGCACCTTCCGGTTACACCTGCAGCCTTTAAAGTCAACAGGTGAAACCTGGAATTCTGTGCTGTCCTGAATGTTCTGTGCCTGGAAATAAGAGATAGCTTAAATGTTTTGTTAATGCAGAAATAAATATTCAGGTAATTCTGGTACACTGGTTTCTTGGGTGGAGAAAGGCTGCACTTTAAACTCTTGCCCCTCCTGATTACCTTTTCTGTCATGACTATTCAAATAATGAAAGGACTGTAATCAAAATTATACCATAGTCTTCCAAATGCACAGTTCCTACAGTTTTCTCAGTTATGAGGCATTATGTGTCAGACAATAAATCAAGGCATGTGGTGATTCTGAAGCTGGCAGGAGTTGCTACTCTTAGAAATTGTGACTAAAGGGCTACTCAAATATTTTGTTTCAGCTTTGAAAAATTAGAAGGTACTATACAAAAAGGGAATATATGAAGTGAATATTCTTAGAAGCTTATATGAGAGCTGGGTTATTAAATTTCACCGACTAGCTAGGTGGAAATAAATGCTATGAAATACAGTATTGTGCCTATAAATAATAGAGCATGCATTGTTTAGTAGGCATATGTTCCTTATAACTTTTTTTGTCTGGCATTAAAACAATGAAATGTTGAAAGTGAGCATTCTCGCAAGCTGTTAGAACCAGATATTTACCGCATACAGCAAAACGTAATTGACTGTTGCACCCAGTGCAGTTTTTGATCTATTTCGTGGTTGTGGTTTTTTTCATTGTGCACTAAGAGCTGCTTTCTGCCCTGGTGTGGAATTAACAATTGGGTATTCTCTAGCTTGTATATCGCATTTGCAAACCTTCTTACGTGCTGCTGTTTCTCCTGGTCTAGCCTTAGGTTAACGAGCAAAAAATAGTAGGCAGCTTTGTTCTTAGACAGTTCATGTTCGGACAACTTGAGTGATTTGAGATCCTCTTTTCCCAGATTCTCTTTGAACCCCTTTGGAATCAGAGGGCCCCCTCTTTTTTTTTTTTTTTTTTTTAATTCTGTTTGCCTTCAGAAGTTTTATTCATCGTGTAATCCTGGAACAATACGTTCCTTAGTTTGCTTAAAGGTAGCGTTGATTACTTTGAGAAAGTGACTTGTTACACAAAGAAGTAAGTAGTTGTTTTGAATGTAGTTTTGATACACTGTGGTTTTTATAATTTAGCTTTAATACAAACCAGTTGCTCTTGGCAGACTCAGCTTACCAATCGGACGAAGATTCTGGAGTCGGTGGAGGTGGCTAGCCAATCAGAAATCCGGCAGTTAACCAGCAAGCTGGAGAGGGCCAATGATGCTATCCGTGCCAAGGAGTTGGAGGTGGAGAGGCTTAACAGGAGAGCGGACGACCTGACTGAAAACAATCGGATGATTCTGGAAGATCAGCAAAGAGTTCAAGAAGAATTAACGCAATCCAAGAAAATGTTAAAGGTCAGTGGAGGAACTGTTAGAAGCCGAATATAAAGCAGAGCTTGAGAGAAGTAGCAGGAAGGCTCTTCATCCCAGAGCTCCCGTCTCTTGCTAGAGCGTTTGTAAAATTCCTGGTTGGCCTCAGAGATGGTTTTGTACTCATGTGGTGCTCTGTGATATTTCCAAGGGTTCCTTAAAAACCTGATCAACCTCGCATTGCCTCACAACAAACTGATTTGGTCCATCTTGCAACAGTCATTCCTTCTTCCTCCCATCCAGGTGCTACAGGATGAGAAGGTGGAACTTAGAGCCACCTTGCAGTCTCAGGAACATTTCATTGAGAGCTCCAAGCTGCACGAAGAACAGTTACAGAAAGAGCTGGCTGGGTTGACTGAAACTCTTCACACAAAAGAACACGTCATCAGGTAGCATCTGTGCCTCACTGGTACTTGTGCTCTTGAATTCAGATCTGTATTCCCCCCTGAGGATGGTAGAAGCATTTTCACACAGCTGGATCTGTATCGGTTGATAACATAGAACTGTACGCTGTAGTTTCTCACAGGTGCTGTGCGTCCTTGCAGCATTTGCCAAATTGCATTGCTTTTTAAATCAACTGATACTCAGCGAAGAGTGTGGAAGGACTCAGCTTTCTCCTCAGCTAAGTTTCTGGAGGCAGCACAGGGCTTTTGAGCTGTTCAGCTTTTTTTTTCCCCCCGGGCATTTTCAGTCAACTGCTGAAGGCCTTTAAGGATTGGATACTGTGCTTATTGTTGTAGGTGACAGTTCTTGCCGACTTAATGATGTCAGATTAGGGTCTTGGTAAAGACATAAACATATATGACAAAATCCTCTTGGTCTTCCCCTTCTGCACTGGCAACATGCGAAAACTATAGGGTTCTGATGGCCTTGTTGAAAGGTTTTGGCGTATGTTACCGAACAGCCACATAGTTTCTTGCAAGCGGGATGTCTGCTAATGACAGGGAGACTCTGTGGATCAGGGAGGCCAATACCAAAATAGGATGTAGTCTCTCTTAATCAGCCTGAATTCAGATAGGGGGCTGTCATCCAGCTGGTATGTTTGCGTATTCACAGTGCACACAGGAGTTGCCTGCTGTTGGGTTTTGTGTATTTTTCAGAGAATTCCAAGAAAGTGGTGGTTATGTTCCCCGTAGTAGTGAACTCAGACATGACGTTTCTGTGCTGAGATTAAAGTTCATGTTTCTGCTTAGGGCCTTGGAGGAACGCTTGCAAGAGCAACAATTGCCTTCTCCAGAGCTGGAGCATATACTGCTGCAGCTGGATGTTGGCCAGAAGAAGGAACAGCACTTACTGTCAGAAGTGGATCGTCTTAAGAACAGGTAGCTGACTGCTCACTTCCCCTGGATGTGCGATGAGACTTGGATAATAATGTAATACCTAATATATTGTATTCATAAAGTTAACCAGTCCCACTGATTTCTGTTGGCTTATTTTAAATATCAAAGGGCTAAAGAAATCAAATGCTATTCATTTTGCAGTTGAATGGTGAGACTGTTTTGCTAATTGGTTGGCTGCTTTTCACTGCACACTGTGGGTGTTTTCAGTGTTTGAGCTTGCTTGGGCTTAGCACCTACATTGGTAATAGGTTAAAGAGTCTTTGTTAGTCAACTGGTAAGAACCAGATCTAGACCTTACTGCGAAATAAGAATTATAAGCAAGTCTTCCTCTCTGAGTTTGTGGTTTTAAGGCTAATGTTTGCATGGGAAGTTTGTAATCTTAGAATGGTAAAGCAACAAACAAGAAACAGCTATTATCTGTTAGATCAGCTTCCTGATCTCTTTTGAAATGATTTTGGTAAACAACCCCAAAGGATTGGTAAGGAGCTTCTAGGTTAAGAGTCTGGTTTCTGTTATGATGGACATAGGAGATTGCTTGGAAGATCAAAGTTTCTCTGACCATGTCCTCCTTCTTGGGGTATGCTAATCTGTAGTTTTACGTTTGGCACCCAGCCTGGTGTCTTCAAATGCAAGGTGTTTGCAGCTGAGTGAAGAGCTGGATGAGAATATCAAAGAGCTGCAGTCAAAAGAAGAACACCTTACTGAGTCGAAGGCAAAGATTAAAAAGGTAATGTCGCTTTGTTCCTGGAGAATGGGAAAGGCACTTGTGGAGTCAGCCATTCCCGTGTGTGTCAAGTACCTCATCAGAGACTGCAGTGCACGGTTAGCAAAGCTCTCAGTGGGATCAAGGCCCGGGAGCGTTGTGGAAGCAGTGATATGCTGGAGGGTAAGAAGCAGATCTGACAAAGGAGGAGTTGAGAGGATGGGTTTGCAAGTTTCTGTACATGGCTGTGTGGGTTACTTTGTGAGTGTCTCTTAGGCCTGCCCCTACATCATGCAGTACTTCCCTGCAGCGTGGAGATACTTGAATTAGTGCTGGAGGGCAAATATGCAAAAAGGCCTGGGGTCCTGAGTTTAAGCCTAATACAGGCTCCCAACAGGATGAGGAACAGGGAGGGTATGGGTTTTGCTGTAATATGTCCAACCACACTTGAGAGAGGTTTTCAGATGTGTTCTGTGTGAAGAAGTCTGTCTGTGAATAAGGGAGTTTGCTTCAGGCTTGATACTTAGACATGAACACAGGGGCTGGAAGAAATGGAGGAGCTCATCTGCCACGAGGACCTCACCCTAGTGCTCTGCTCACCAAAGGGAGGCAAACCCTCCAAAAGGCCGGACTTTTAATAGTGGTCTAGATCAGTTAGTGTGAGAGCTTTCACTGGAGCCTGGTTAGAGTAGAAGCCTTATTGGACTTCAGTGAAAAACCTCACTTCTGTGAAAATCTTTCATCTTTTACTCTGAATGTACAGAGGTGCAGATCTTGCCAGAGATGCGAGCTTGGTTACGCATTTAAACAGCCACACACAATAAATGAATCTCCTACAGGCTACTGGGGAGGAGAGAGATATTTGTTATTGTGGTTTCTATTTTATATACTTGGGAAACATTGAGGTGACATGGAGATAAATCACCGTACGTATAGTATGTGCATGACTAGGTGGAGATCATCTGGTTCAATTTTCTGAAATGCTTGTAATTCTCATGAAAATCCTGGAGGTTTGGGCGGTTAATTTTTCTGGCTAATGGAATGGAATACTGGGGAAGAAATTATGCTATGTTGTTTTTCTGCTAGGTCACTGAATAAATACACAGTATGCCTACCAGAATATTGTATGTAGTTCAGGTCTGCCATCTCAAAAAGAACTGAATAAAACAAAATACGGTGTGGAAAAAGACGAACAAAAGGATGGAGTGTTTTTTGCACAAGGAACAGCTGAATGGAATAGGACTTGCCAAACTGGAAAAGAGATAAATGAGATTGAGCGTACAAAAATAAAACCATGCCTGTCATGTGGAAAGTAAATAAGGAATGATTATTCTTATAATGCAGGGACTAGTGGTCATCAAATGGAGTTATGAAAACAAAGAGGTATATTTTTACCCTGTGCATAGCTAGCTTGTGAAAATTTGCCCTGGATATCTTTGATTGCTACAAGCTAATATAAATTCAAAAGACTTAGGACAAATTCATGGAAGAAAAGTCTGGCTAGAGCTGTTTAAAGATACCGTCTCTGCCTCAGGAAGATGGAGTAGCAAGATGTGCTTGCCCAGTGATGGTAAATCTTTGTTGGCCATGGAAGTAGAATGGTGAGATAAAGAGACTGTGATTTGATCCATTATGGGTCTTCTCGAATACTCCACAGCATTAACTTATGTCTTGTTCCACTTGGCAGTTTATGGTGTGGAAAAGGAGTGGGATGAGGTGGTTTTCAATCAAGGAGGACAAGCATGTGCAGAGGGCTTGTTACGTAGAGGTTTTTGTTTTCCAGTACTTGGATTTCACATTACCATGTGCAATACGTTTGCTTTTTTGCTGAAACATCTTTTACAAGCTCGTGGGCGGTGTGTGCATGTCTTCCTCCAGCTGAAAGAGCAGCGCTCTCAAGCTGAACAAACTCACAGCAGTGAGCTAGAAGGGATGAAAAGGGAAATCTCCAGGCTGAAGCAAGAGTTACACCAGCGGAACATCACAATTGCGTCTGCAAGTGACTCCACGTCAGACCTAGAACAATGGCTGAGAACAAAGATTGAAAGAGAAGAGAGGAAAGCGGTGGAGCACGGGGTAAAAAAGTTGGAAGACTCTTATGCTGTCTCTTTAAGGGATCTGAAGACTTGGAATACCATCCTAGTTTTTAACCGTGTTATCTCTCTTCAGCCTTTCAACAAAGCCTTTGAGACCCTTCTGATGAAGTCTTCTAATCTATGGTTATTTGTATGGCCTTCTCTATAGGGTCCGCGCAGAACTAAAGTCCCAAACATTACTTTGTACTCATGCTTGACTTGAGGGTGGAAAATGCTTGTAGGGTGTTGTGGGCACGTGTTGTGTTCTTTTTTCTGAGCTTGTTGTTTCCCTCTGTCTCCTCAGGCATTTTTGGTCCAGCTAGAATCCTTGAGGCTGGAAAACCATCGTCTCTCAGAGATGTTGGAACAAACAGAGTTCGGTATACTACAGGTATGCATTAGGGACCAGAGATGAGAAGGGGCTAGCATTGTGTGTCCCCTACCTGGGGGCAGTAGTAGTCTTTGCCCACGCCTCTCAAAGTGCTTGGTAGAGTTCAGTGAACTTAAAACCCAAGCAAAAGGGGCAATTTGTGAGGAAACGAGGGACAGAAATACTGAGCATCTTGTTTGGCCAGAGAGTAGCGAGGAGAACTGCAGAAACAGAGCCGTCATGACGGTTTCTTGTCCATGGGGTTTGGCCCATGTTTTTTAGTACATTTTTTTATGTTTCCATTCTATGCCAGTTTACCTCAAATCTCTGATTCTAAGTCTGTGTTGTCTTTTTGACCTATGTCAGAGCTGTAACAGCTCTGATCTTCCTATTTCTGTGGTGAGAGCATGTTCACAGGCATATGGCAGCCTGGGAATAAGGGCTGGATGCCCTGGGCAACGTGCCAGGAAGGGCCACTGTGGATGGCTCCTGCTCATCTGGCATTCGTGATGCGCAGTGAGGGCAACTCGTCCAGAGGGGAGAAGGGGAGCTTGCATGGAAGAGGTGCAGGCTTGGCAGGAGTAATACCTTGAACGTTGTTCATTTTAGTGCCTGCATGAAGGAAGATCTAGCTAGTTTTCAAGTTCTGTCTCACGTAAACCAGGATGAATGCCTTACAGGGGGCAAGGACTGGATTCGGACAGCTGAAAACCTACTGGGAATATACCCTCAGCATTTTTATCCTGTCAGATCTGTGGGAAGGAAATACTCAGCTCTTAATATTAGTTTGGGGTGATTGTCAAATGTGCCAAGTTCTTGGGAAAGTGTTGAACAGAAGCTTGTGGCTGGTGAGATGGAGAAAAACCAAAGATTTCTGGAGGGCTGATTTGAGACTGAAATAGCTTAAAGCCTATTACTTTCTACTTGAAGTGGCTGGTGGGCTTTTATCTGCCTGACTTACCAAAAACTCCATATCAAAGTGCAAAACAAGAAACCTGTTTTAAAAAAATAAAGTATAAAAAAGAAAAAGGCCCCTTGGTCCCATGGCACAGGAGCTACCATTCGTAGCCAGGTCTTCTAATGCATATATGGAAAGACCTTAGATACAGCAGTGATGAGAATGTTAAGCATCTAAATTTAATAGACTTGGCAAAAAGAAAGTGGGAATGTCACAGGAGTAGAAACTATGGAAATGATATCCACCTGGCCTAGTAAGGAGGAGATGGGGAGAAGGAAGTTGTTCAGAGTTTCAAAAAGAAAAACTGCTTCTAGCAGTGAAAATTTCTCAAAGGCTATGGGTCATCCCAGGTGGGGAGAGTTATGCACAGCATTTTGTTACTGTTACCACAGGCCTTTGCTAATTTGAGTGAGGGGATCTAGAAGTGTTATTGCAAATAGCTTTGCTGGTAGATCACATGGATCTCACTAAGCGTGGTTACTTCCCGTCAACAGCTAAGCCACTGGACCATGTGTTGCTTCACACCCGCAGGAGGTATCTGGCAGAGCCTGCTCCTCCGACACCCAGAGAGTTGCTCGGGCTGAGACAGTTTACTGGGATGGCACTCGAGCGTTCCCAGCTTTGGCTGAGAGGCTTGCATCTTAGCAAAGTGAGGGAATCCTAGAATATACAACTGGAGAAGAACTCGAGGTCGAGTAGGCCTTCTTATTATCCCAAGGCCAGAGGCAGATACCTTAAGACTCTTCTTGGTCTATATTTTCCTGTTTTCAAAAGCATTCAGTGGTGTGAGAGAGACTTCCTAGGCAGATCAGTGGAGCTTGTGTGGATGCAGACGCAATAAGGCATATGTAATTGATTTGCTCTTTCGAAAACCTTGAAAATTTTGCCAGTCAAAATTGGGATTAGAGGATATGCCTTAAGGAATCGCTTGCCAGCCTTTGCTCTGGATTTGACTATGGTGTCTTGCAAATCAGAAGTTTTGACTTCAGCCCTTCTCTCTGTATTAGGGAAAAGGTGTCACCATAAGAGCGCTCAGTGAAGACTATGCTCTTGAAATAAAGGAATTGAAATCTGAGAACCAGCAATTGCAGAAGGATCTGGCAGAGGCCAGAGCAAAACTGGAGCTCACTCAGCAGGTCTGCCAGGATGGGCCCGAGGGCACTGCTCAGCAGATGCAAAGGGAAGAGCCCGAGGCCAGGGATGTGCAGTACAGGTGAGTGTTTCATGACCCCAGGGGTGCTGCTTCCTTATTATGAAGGAGAACAGAAGGCATGAGGATGTGTGCGTTTTTAATGATGTGCTGTATGTATACATTCTATCTCCAGCACATAGTATGTATGGGAGAACACAAGGACTGTTTTGGAATCTGCCTTTCTGCTTTAAGTAGTGCAATAGCTTTCAGTCCCAGCTGGTTTGTGTTCTGCAAAGCCAGCTAGTATTCGACTGTCTTTTGACTGCCTTTGCCTTTTTCTTTGATTGAGAAGCAGTATGTGCTCTTTTCAGTGAAGGGATTAGATTTGGCCCAGGCGCCTGGGCTCCTTTCTTTCACAGTACTAGGATGTGTAGACTGTAGTTTTTGGTATGTACAGTAGCAGAAGAGTGAGAAAGGATTTCCTAGAGACTAGATTTTCATCTGGAGGTCCTATGGAAACAAGAGCCAGTTTGGATTGACAGAACTACCTGTATGTTGTTTATTATCTCTGCACAAGTTTTTGCTAAAGTTCAGATGCTAAGAGGCAAACTGTCAAACAGTCACGTGTTCAAACCTGCCTTCCAGGACAATTTGGGAAGCACAGCACAGACATGATGAAGAAGCAGCAAGTATACATTGCATGCCTGATGGGACTGTTCAGCATTATCAAAGGGAGTTCCAGAGTTGGGGGGCTGCTGAAACAGGAACTGTGACCCCTGAGATGGGTGAGCTGCCTGCCCAGACCAGTAGGAAGAACTCCATGGAGCCACTTGCTTTGGATGCCTTGCTGGGGATGGATTCTTTGCTCCATGAGCTGGATGGAAACAAAGATTTTGAAGACACAGCATCTAAGCAGTCCACCTCGAATAATCAGAGAGAATCTGTGCCTTTGGTGAGTGGTTGTGTAAAAGCTGGCTGCTATTCAACAGCTGAGGATATAGCTGGGTTCTCATTTGGCAAAAGGAGCCAGATTTTTGTATGTATGGTCTGGCTGCATGGGGTGTAGGATTCTTTAGGCATATATTAAGCAGGGAGGAAAGACCACTGCTGGACAGTTAATACTTGGACAATAGGAGCCGTGTTGTTGTTCTTCAGAACCCTCTGGGAAAGGGCTTTGTGTTTGGCTTAACTGATAAGCTGGTTCCAGAAGCTCATGCTTCTCTCCACACTGGTACTGTGCATCTGTGTGTACCGTGACCCACTTCTGTCACATCAGAATTCTGCTTCAGCTTTTGGCTTGGGTCTGTAGTAGAGGCTCAGAGTGGATGTAGGGTGCTGAGTATTTCAACGTGCAGTTTCTGGGTGAATCTGAAAGCTGGTGCTGCACATCTACATTCGCTATAATGCACAGGGCGAGTTTGACCCCTCTGAATGGGACTGCAGTAGTCAGCACACTGAACTTAAAGCCACTTATGCCAGCTGATAGGAAAGCCTGAAATCGGTGATTCACTGCAGAAGAGGTGGCTATTATTTTTCCCAGTTGCTGATCATACCTTTTTGGTAGGGAGCAGTGTTGACACCTTTGTCCTTTTAGCTCGGTTGCTGGAGCACTTGCCCATGACACGGGAAATTTGGACTCTATCAATTCTTCTTGTCTGTTAAGACCATATATCGCAGTACCCACTGTAATGAGCAGGCTGTAGACTGACTTGAGCAGGGAGGGGAATGGAAGAGGGACACAGAGAGTAATTGTGATACCAGGGGTCAGACAGGGCTGTGGTAGTTCAGGGAGGGGAGAATCCTGGGTGCTGATCTTTGTTCCAGACTTGTTGCCACTAGCAGTCTTTGGAGTATTTTCTGCTCTGGTTGTGTGGTGTTAGCAGTGACAACAGCTGTTTTATGGGGAGCCCAGAGAAGAGTCTCTAAGGGTGATGCACAGATAAGCGGAGGCTTGTCAGGTTTGTAGATCTTGACGAGGCTTACTACCAAAGCGTGTGGCTGGTGAGATGGAGAAAAACCAAAGATTTCTGGAGGGCTGATTTGAGACTGAAATAGCTTAAAGCCTATTACTTTCTACTTGAAGTGGCTGGTGGGCTTTTATCTGCCTGACTTACCAAAAACTCCATATCAAAGTGCAAAACAAGAAACCTGTTTTAAAAAAATAAAGTATAAAAAAGAAAAAGGCCCCTTGGTCCCATGGCACAGGAGCTACCATTCGTAGCCAGGTCTTCTAATGCATATATGGAAAGACCTTAGATACAGCAGTGATGAGAATGTTAAGCATCTAAATTTAATAGACTTGGCAAAAAGAAAGTGGGAATGTCACAGGAGTAGAAACTATGGAAATGATATCCACCTGGCCTAGTAAGGAGGAGATGGGGAGAAGGAAGTTGTTCAGAGTTTCAAAAAGAAAAACTGCTTCTAGCAGTGAAAATTTCTCAAAGGCTATGGGTCATCCCAGGTGGGGAGAGTTATGCACAGCATTTTGTTACTGTTACCACAGGCCTTTGCTAATTTGAGTGAGGGGATCTAGAAGTGTTATTGCAAATAGCTTTGCTGGTAGATCACATGGATCTCACTAAGCGTGGTTACTTCCCGTCAACAGCTAAGCCACTGGACCATGTGTTGCTTCACACCCGCAGGAGGTATCTGGCAGAGCCTGCTCCTCCGACACCCAGAGAGTTGCTCGGGCTGAGACAGTTTACTGGGATGGCACTCGAGCGTTCCCAGCTTTGGCTGAGAGGCTTGCATCTTAGCAAAGTGAGGGAATCCTAGAATATACAACTGGAGAAGAACTCGAGGTCGAGTAGGCCTTCTTATTATCCCAAGGCCAGAGGCAGATACCTTAAGACTCTTCTTGGTCTATATTTTCCTGTTTTCAAAAGCATTCAGTGGTGTGAGAGAGACTTCCTAGGCAGATCAGTGGAGCTTGTGTGGATGCAGACGCAATAAGGCATATGTAATTGATTTGCTCTTTCGAAAACCTTGAAAATTTTGCCAGTCAAAATTGGGATTAGAGGATATGCCTTAAGGAATCGCTTGCCAGCCTTTGCTCTGGATTTGACTATGGTGTCTTGCAAATCAGAAGTTTTGACTTCAGCCCTTCTCTCTGTATTAGGGAAAAGGTGTCACCATAAGAGCGCTCAGTGAAGACTATGCTCTTGAAATAAAGGAATTGAAATCTGAGAACCAGCAATTGCAGAAGGATCTGGCAGAGGCCAGAGCAAAACTGGAGCTCACTCAGCAGGTCTGCCAGGATGGGCCCGAGGGCACTGCTCAGCAGATGCAAAGGGAAGAGCCCGAGGCCAGGGATGTGCAGTACAGGTGAGTGTTTCATGACCCCAGGGGTGCTGCTTCCTTATTATGAAGGAGAACAGAAGGCATGAGGATGTGTGCGTTTTTAATGATGTGCTGTATGTATACATTCTATCTCCAGCACATAGTATGTATGGGAGAACACAAGGACTGTTTTGGAATCTGCCTTTCTGCTTTAAGTAGTGCAATAGCTTTCAGTCCCAGCTGGTTTGTGTTCTGCAAAGCCAGCTAGTATTCGACTGTCTTTTGACTGCCTTTGCCTTTTTCTTTGATTGAGAAGCAGTATGTGCTCTTTTCAGTGAAGGGATTAGATTTGGCCCAGGCGCCTGGGCTCCTTTCTTTCACAGTACTAGGATGTGTAGACTGTAGTTTTTGGTATGTACAGTAGCAGAAGAGTGAGAAAGGATTTCCTAGAGACTAGATTTTCATCTGGAGGTCCTATGGAAACAAGAGCCAGTTTGGATTGACAGAACTACCTGTATGTTGTTTATTATCTCTGCACAAGTTTTTGCTAAAGTTCAGATGCTAAGAGGCAAACTGTCAAACAGTCACGTGTTCAAACCTGCCTTCCAGGACAATTTGGGAAGCACAGCACAGACATGATGAAGAAGCAGCAAGTATACATTGCATGCCTGATGGGACTGTTCAGCATTATCAAAGGGAGTTCCAGAGTTGGGGGGCTGCTGAAACAGGAACTGTGACCCCTGAGATGGGTGAGCTGCCTGCCCAGACCAGTAGGAAGAACTCCATGGAGCCACTTGCTTTGGATGCCTTGCTGGGGATGGATTCTTTGCTCCATGAGCTGGATGGAAACAAAGATTTTGAAGACACAGCATCTAAGCAGTCCACCTCGAATAATCAGAGAGAATCTGTGCCTTTGGTGAGTGGTTGTGTAAAAGCTGGCTGCTATTCAACAGCTGAGGATATAGCTGGGTTCTCATTTGGCAAAAGGAGCCAGATTTTTGTATGTATGGTCTGGCTGCATGGGGTGTAGGATTCTTTAGGCATATATTAAGCAGGGAGGAAAGACCACTGCTGGACAGTTAATACTTGGACAATAGGAGCCGTGTTGTTGTTCTTCAGAACCCTCTGGGAAAGGGCTTTGTGTTTGGCTTAACTGATAAGCTGGTTCCAGAAGCTCATGCTTCTCTCCACACTGGTACTGTGCATCTGTGTGTACCGTGACCCACTTCTGTCACATCAGAATTCTGCTTCAGCTTTTGGCTTGGGTCTGTAGTAGAGGCTCAGAGTGGATGTAGGGTGCTGAGTATTTCAACGTGCAGTTTCTGGGTGAATCTGAAAGCTGGTGCTGCACATCTACATTCGCTATAATGCACAGGGCGAGTTTGACCCCTCTGAATGGGACTGCAGTAGTCAGCACACTGAACTTAAAGCCACTTATGCCAGCTGATAGGAAAGCCTGAAATCGGTGATTCACTGCAGAAGAGGTGGCTATTATTTTTCCCGGTTGCTGATCATACCTTTTTGGTAGGGAGCAGTGTTGACACCTTTGTCCTTTTAGCTCAGTTGCTGGAGCACTTGCCCATGACACGGGAAATTTGGACTCTATCAATTCTTCTTGTCTGTTAAGACCATATATCGCAGTACCCACTGTAATGAGCAGGCTGTAGACTGACTTGAGCAGGGAGGGGAATGGAAGAGGGACACAGAGAGTAATTGTGATACCAGGGGTCAGACAGGGCTGTGGTAGTTCAGGGAGGGGAGAATCCTGGGTGCTGATCTTTGTTCCAGACTTGTTGCCACTAGCAGTCTTTGGAGTATTTTCTGCTCTGGTTGTGTGGTGTTAGCAGTGACAACAGCTGTTTTATGGGGAGCCCAGAGAAGAGTCTCTAAGGGTGATGCACAGATAAGCGGAGGCTTGTCAGGTTTGTAGATCTTGACGAGGCTTACTACCAAGAATAGGTCTTGATTGTTTCAAGACTAAAGTAGCTTGTGGGCATGTCCAGAAAAAAAAGTTGGGAGCTTAGGGAACTGTAATACTCTAAATGGAAACTCTTCAGACTGCAGGATTGGAGCTGAAGTGCGAACAGTTCCACTTCAGGGTCTGAGAAGCTTTAGGGCTTGATGTTTAGTAGAAAAGAACGTGCTGTTTTTTGTTCTGAGAGATAGAAATAAGGTTTCTAAGGAAATGCAGATATTTGTCCTGGTGTTGACTGGGACTTCCTGCTCATGGTCAGGCTCCAGTGTCTTGAAATCAGTTCCTTTAACATTAAGAGAGGAGAATTCTCATCAGGAGGCAGTAGTGGGGTGGGAGAGACTTGCTTTTGTTGTTTGCAGCCTTTTTTCTGCTTCCCTTTGTTCCTGGCTGTTAATGAAAGACCAGAAAACCATGAGACTCCAGGATTTGGAAATAACCAATTACGCTCTCTTGCCAAGTCATTGAGGCAGGTTTTCTGTAATGGAAAGCAGCCCCTTAGTAACTTTATAATTCACCTGCCAGCCCTTGTTCAGAAAGCTTCTCTTCATCAATTTGTAAATTAAGCCTAGTTTACACTGCTTTTTTTGTAAGTTAAGAACTTGTGGGTAAGTGATGTGAGTAGCAGGAATAGTTCTTGACTGTAAAGGAAAGAATCTGGGGTAGTTTATTGACCATTGCTAGCTGAGCTGAAGTGGCGTTCAGTGAGCTGCAATGGGAGTTTGGTCTGTACTTCCCCTGTGGGATTGTACCAGAAACCCATCATTTCAGGGAAGCAGAGGAGATATATAAAAGAAAGCAGAGATAGCCCCAGTGCTGGTCCAGTCTGACAGGTCTTTCGCTTCCCTGGAACCTGTATTCTGACATGATACTGCTTACTGAGATTTTTATGAAGACAAGGAGCAAGACATAGAACTTAAGTGTGAGGCTGCGCTAACACACCAAGGACAAAACCCTTGGTATTTTTTAGGGACCTTCTCTAGACTGTACATGCAATGTCATTCCCTCTCGTTATTTTAAGGGGAGGGGCTGGTAATTGAAATGAAACTCCAGTTCCCCTAAGTAGACAGTCAATTCCTATTAATACCTCTGGGGTCAGGGTTCCACCTGTGAAGTGCAAGAAGTATGTAGGCACGTGGAGAGCTTATTTCTGTTCAGTTCTAGCCCCCCAGTGCCTTAGAGAGGGGAACTACTGGAGTGGAAAAGTTATGTGTGCTAAGGTACTGATTTTACTCCCTGCAGTTGTGGCAAAGGCTTGGGAAGCTTTCACTGTTGGTTGGAGACTGCTGGGAGGGACATTTACCTATGATACAAGCATGAGACCTGAGTGCTTAATCCGCCCAGTAAGATAGAATTGACACAAGAGCGCTTTAGAAGCATATTTGGTTGCGTGGTTTTCGGATCAGTAGTGTTTCTGGCTGAAACTTGGAATGAAAGAATTCCTGACATCCCTCTTTGTTTTCTGTTTAGTGTCCCGTGCCTACAGCTTCAGTTGGATCAATAGCTGCGAGATATGTGGAAGAGGAAGATCGGAGATCCCAGCGCATCCTGGAGTGCCTAAATGCTCACCTTGAGGAAATGGAAGAAGAGAGTGAAAAGATAGTGAGACGGTTTGGACACCAGGAGTAAAGTTTCTTATGGAATTTGAGTGCTGGTTTACCTACATGGTTCCAGACTACAACTGGGGAGGCACCTGTAAACCAGTTGCCATGGGAGCTTGGGTGAGAGGCTGTATCTCCCACTTTGAGCTGAATCAGCAGTATTGGGAATTTTATTATTAAATTGGTATTTTAAGTATATTTTATACATGTTAAAGTGTTGAAATAAAACAAAATGGAAAACCACCTCTTTTGTTGTTCATACAAGTATACAGAGTAAATCTCTTGTGGCTTATCTTGCCTTCTCATCAGGAGCTTTGATCAACACCTTTTCCATCCGTTCCCTCCCAGCGTAGTTATGTCCTTCAAGGAACAACTAATATAATTCCTCTTTCATTTAGACTACCTGTATTGTTTCCAGTTAATTTTACCTTAATGGAATTTCTTAATATTTCCTGGTGGTTCTTCTGCCCTTTGCTATTTGTGTAGTATCTGGCGTCTTTATCTTGCCTGGCCTGTGGCTTGAAGTACTGCAGAATAGGTGAGGAATGAACGGCTGAATGCTGATTGTGGTCACAGCTCTTATGAAAGAAAGAGTGATTGGAACTGGGAATGAAACTGAATGGGAAGAGAACCCATGAACAAGTGAGATTTGTCTGTGTGGCAGACGTAATTGCAGCTGCTGTGTAAGCTGGTATCAGCCCGCTTTGAATCTAGGCGGTCTTGGACACTGTCCAGTCAAGTTGAACTGCTGCATTAAAATACAGCTGGCCTGTTTGGAGGAATATATGCAGTCCTTCCTCAAGGAAAGTAAGTTGTTAATGAGTGAACAGAACCTGTTTCCTACGGCCTTGCCTTTCTTCCAGGGGCACTCTGCAGTTCTTCTGTGGCTGAGCCTTTACAGCCATTGTACAGGCAGAGCTGGGGACAGAGACATCCCTTGTCCATCTGTGAATTTTCTGTTCCTTTCTGTTGGCTTCACCTTGTCCTCGAGCAGCTTAAGGCTGTCAAGAGACAGGGATTCAAAGGCAACGTATGCATGCCAAACCCAGCCATCAGGTTAGGCAGAGGAGTTCAGCAAAGGTGATGCCTGTCTGCGGACTGCAGCCTCTTTGTCATACCATAAAATGGGACCGCACTTGGTCAAGCAATTCAGCATTCCACAGCTGAAAAACATTTAAATCACAAAGTCCTTTTATTTTGGCTTTCTTCTGGAGCTCTTTGAACAAGGAGAAAACCTTCAGAGCCATTCTGGATTCTCATTGTGCAGTCTTTGTGATGAGGTGTTTTAACTGCCTGCCGCTGGGGATAAACTGTGGTCCTGCATTTTGCACATAGTCAGCGTTGGCCTCTGCTCCTGTTCGGAGCTGCCCACAGGTAAGCATGTTTGGAACATCTACCTGAACTATCCAGATCTCGGCTAAGAGCTTGTTAATCATGAGGCATTTTGACAAAAGCTGAATGGCTGACTAGAACAAACTGTTGTTTCCTCTTCCTGCATGAACCTATAGATCCACTGGGCATGAGGTACGCCAGAACTCCTAGCAATTCCTAATGTCCTTCAGCAGTCACAGCAATACCAGTTTTTAAATGATACCTTACAAACCATTTTATGTTTCCTGAAAATTTGTTAAGCAAGCTACATCATGCACGAAGTGTTTTCAGAAGTTCAGAAGACAGTTTGGCTCATTAGTGATGTTTGCTTCAATATCCCTTTCCTTTAGAGATATTTGGCAGTTCATCTTCATGTTGGCAGAACTGAAGAGCAAAACTGAAGATGATCCATTTGTTTAATTAGCAGCTATAATCCTACAGTATTTATCAATTTCTAATACATGTAATAAGCAGCTTCATTCAGGGAGTAGGCTGTAAAAGTTTGATCTAAAGAGTAACATTTGCGGCAGGGGAACTGCTGACTTTCTCCTCTGTGCTGGTGTACGTGCTCTCTTTGCCACCTTCTCTGTTTGCAGATGTACAGTGCCATGGACTCTCATGTGGCTGCTGTTCCTGGAGTTGCTGTGCATGGGCAACAGGAGAGGAGGACAGAGGTAAGGCAGTATGACGAGCTGCAGTTTCCTGCTCATTTTTAAGCATATGCCTTTCTCACGGCCAGCATGGAAATAGCAGAGCACCTGGTTGTGTACTTACTGTATTTGTTCCATGGGTGAGGACGGTAGCTTGTGAGTAGATGGAAGTGCAGAGATACAATGGCCAAAGATAAAACCTCATTCTACATGTACTGAATTTGCCTTCGCTGAGACACAAGCTGCCTGCAGACCTGAGTGATCTGAATTTGTAATGCTAAGTAATCACACCTCTTGGTGGTGTAGGGATTATGAAAACTGTTCAGTCCTGAGGCCTGCTAAGGGAGGACTCTGGCTGGAATGGGAGAGCTGGTAGTCCCGAGATAACTGAGAAGTCTCTTCCAGAGATGTTCTCCTGGTGTTAGAGTCTTGGCTGCGCTGAAGAATGTGCATTTTTTGTGAGGGGGAGGAGAAAAAGACTTGTTTATTCTGGAGGGAGATGTCACAGCAAGTACATACTTCTGAGGTGCTTTTATCTGGGGCTGCAGGGTTGCTCAGGCATTCTTCTCTGCCTTTGCAGTGTCAAACATCCCTTGGAATAATCACCTGGCCCTGGAAACTTTATAATTAATGAAGCTGGAGAGGGAGTTTTTTGTGCCTTTGAACTCATGCCTTCAATAGCACTAAAGATTTTTTTTTTGTACATTTGCAGGGCTGAGCCAGATGTTTGTTTTCTGTTTGTAACAAAAATGTGGAAATTTATTAGCAATATTTCTGTTTGTACCAGCCTAGCATCTCGAAAATGGGAAGCTGTTGCAGGCTCTGTCTGTCCTTAGCGTGCTACAGATGTTCTTTTGTGGGTGTGACAGTGCTTTAGCAGACTGGCTGTTGCAGTGTCGTGGAGGGGCAGGAGGGAGCACTCCCCGAAATCTCACTAGGTAGAGGGCAATAGTGTATAACTGTCCTCTCTACTCCTTCAGGATCGGGGGTTTTTTGCCCCCCCTGCCATCTTGAGACAGAAATAGAGCATGGCTGCTGACTAGCTGTGCCTGTGTGTGTGCCTGTAAGGGAACAGCAAGTATTTGGCTGCGTGAAGGGTGTATGTAGTTTGGTATACTTGACCCTCTTACGTGCAAAAAGTAGTTTTCTTTAGTTCCGAAGCTCTCTGGGATGCCTCCTTATCCTCCCACTGTAAGCAGTGACATTTGACTGGATCGGCTTGGCCTCTAAAATGAAAGCTGGTGAAATGTGTCCTCCTTGATCTGAAAAGTGGGATCTAAGAAAAAAAAGAATCCTTCTGCTAGGCACCAAAATAAACCAGGGCTGTCTGTGCTTACAGACAACGCTCACTTTAGTCTTCAGGGTCCTAGGCAATAATAAAAGTCCCCATGTCTTGCTTCCATCTGCATCTGTGCCGTTCAGTGGGTGTTGCTGTCCAGGGAGCGGGTGCCTGCTGGGCTACAGGGCTCGTTAGTGGCCCTGCAGAGAGGAGCTGCTGCTGCCGATTTTTGAGGGCAAAACCACTTGGCTGTTCAGGGGAGGACTTAAAACCTGCTTTTATGTCACACATGGAGCCTTCTTGTCTCCAAGTACAGAAAGACCCCAAAGCATTGCTGTACTCCTGGCGTCCTAGAGTAAGCTTTGTTAGCTTACACGTCGTGTTTATACTGGCAACTTGTGTCTGCGGTAGCCTGCATCCTCCCTGGGAGTTCTGCTGCTTGAATACGGCTCCAGGTACCCTGCACACTCACTCAGCTTGCTTAAAATGGGGACTCAAACCTGGTTGCTGGGGTAGAAGGAGTAAAGTAGTGGGGATCAGAGGCAGCGAGCCTGCTGCAGGTGGGCAGCGCTCTGCTATCATGCATAGCTTCTGCCACCAGGTCGCCGAGGAGAAGGGCAGTGTCGAAGTAACCCATGTGTTTTGCGTGGAAAATGCAGCAGCTTTGTGAAGAGGAGTTCATATAATTTGGTCAATGAAATAGAAAGCAAAAACATAACAGGTTTATTTTAAATTCAAGCTCAAACGTAATATTTCTCGGGTCATGCTAACATTTACGGACATCTGAATCATTTATGAAAATATTGCTTGATCTTATGACATTTATTTGTGGTGAGATTCATTAGAAGACCACCTTTGCCTTGTGCATGTAAGGGTTTTCTGAGAGTACAGGACCGAATAGTTTTTTACATGACAATAATGCCACTCGGCCTGGTATTTCACATAACCCCTGAAGTTTTTTAGTTGCAGTATTGCGTAGACAGGTTGGAGTAAGGAGTGATTTTTGAGAACTTTATTCTCCATTTCAGTGTAGTTTTAGTTATGGAAACACCTATATGCTTGAGATAGGATTACAGTGTTAATACTGCAGAAAAAGTGTTTACAATTCAAATACTCTAATATAAAAAGGTAAAAATGATTTTGTTTATTGTATTTAAGAATTAATGTAGAAAAGTAATTTCGCAGTATCACTTAAATTTGTAAGACAATGAAGTGCACAAGAAAACGTCATGTTGTATCTTCTTCCTAACACTTCTCTCTGCTGGGATGTGTTCTGCAACCTAACTAAAGATATACAGAAACTCAGTGTAAATATCCTGAAGTTCCTCGTGTCCAATATTGCTGGGCAAAACCAGGGTGCACTTTCTTCATCCTGCCCCATTGCTAGGTGGATTCTTCTTGGAGTAGCCATTGTAAGACTTTTCTTATGGTCCATAGCTTGGAAACCAGCAATCACTGCTGACACAGAATAACATATGGCCAAAAAGTCAGTGGTTTTCTTCAAAATGTTTGTCTTGAGAGTATTAATGAAACATAGGCGAGGGTTTTATTTAACTTCTTCCCCTGCTGCTCTCTTCTTAACAGGATTTTCTGCTTCTTTGAACTTCACTGAACCCGTGGTCTTGCAAAAGCCTGCAAGTGTTGTCCTGCATTTGTTGAAAGAACATGAATGAGCGAGAATGAGCGATCTCCTAAAGCTGTATTGGTTTTGGGCACGTTGGAAAAGTTGGTTCGTGCAGGTGAGCGAGAGAACAAGGAGGCGGTGTTACTGGGTCTCAACTTCGTATTTCAGGAGTTGTGTGTAAACTTTGCGATTAGCATTCTCCTGTACTGTCACAAACACCTCTCTGCATCCCGAAGTGTTGCAGGTTCCCTCCCAGTAGCCTCTGTTCTGGGTGAGAGTGTAAGTGTCGTCAGCTAGAACTAGCACCTTTGCTATCCCGTGTATTTTGAGTTTAAACTGAATGTTGCGATTCGCTGGCAGCAAGCCGGAGAGCGGCTCCAGTATTTCGTAGCCTTCCGCCCAGTTGCTGTAATACTGAGGGAAAGCTGGCCACTTCACTTCAGTGTTCAGGCAAGTGATGAGGTAGTTGAAGATGTAGGTGTAATTGCCAGGATCTGACTTCTTCTTGGCATAGATTTTCAGAACAAAGTTCCCTGCGTGGGGCAGATGGATCTTCAACTCTATTTGGTTCCCATGATGGATTTGCATGATGTGCCGCTGCCTTATAACCTCTGTCGCGCTGCTGTTATCGGGGTGCAGCTCGGCGAGGATGCTTATGTCCTTGCCCAGGGTGAAGGTGACAGAACACCGCCCGTCGTTGGTGTGAATGATGGGGTCACGGTGTGATGGCCTCAGGAACCCTTGCAACTCCGTGAACCAGCTTGGTCCAACAGGCTGACTCAGGGCCTTTGGGAAACGCGTGGCCTTGTCCACAGACTTGCACTCTATGACATATTCAAGCACGTGGTTGTAGACACCTTCTGAGGATTTGTAGGGCTTGGCAAAGACCTGCAGCTTATGACTCCCTGTCTTCTGTGGGTAGATATCCAGCTTCATTCCGTGTTTTTTCAAAGTCATGAAACTGTGTTCATCTGTTCCATTCAGCTCAAACATAAATAGTGTGGCAGAACGGCAATCCACTGACACAGAGGCTTTTCCATTTACTATGAAATACAAAAGAAAAGAAACTGCATAGGAGTTTTGGTATATTTTTCGCATGTACACCCTGTTCTGGGAAGACTAATCTGTCTCAATAAATTGCTGCTTCTCTAATAGTAAAATAAAGAGCTGCAATTGACAGGTCATAGCTCGTCAGCTGTCTGCTTAGACCAGCATCCCTCAGAAAGAAAGAGGTGAAGACTGGCCTTTGTTCTGGAGATGTGCATTTATCCTATTTTGGTATAGACTGAAATGGAGCTGTGGTCCTATAGAACGTGAAAGGCTGTGTGAAATATAACTGAAATTACTGTTAGCCCATGTGTTTGAGAAGGGCTTAATTAGATGTGGTTAGACCTGATTGCTAGTCCAGTAGCTGTTCCAAGAATCTTTAGAGAAAAGCGCAGGACCTCTCCAGTGCGTAGATATGAGATAATCGACCTCCCTGTGAGCCTGTTCCCAAACAGCTTGAAGACAACATTAAGTCCTAAAATGTTGTTGCCTGTAAGTTATAACTCTGTGTTCTTAGAGTTCATAAATTAGCTATCTAGTTAAATTCTTGCAGCTTTTTTAAAAATCTGAGGAAGGTGATGTTAAATGTGGGCCTTGTAATTCAGTGGTGTTACCTGAATAGTTTTATGTTAAAAAAGCTGCTGGACTTACGCCGGGTGTTCAGTGTTGCACAAAGAGGTGCCTATTTATGCATTGTTCAGTAATTCAAACTTTGGGAACATCGTAAAAGGTTTTAATCTCATTTTCAAGACAGAGTTGCTAATGTATAATGGCAATACTTCTAATTTTGCACCCCCGATGCTGGCGGATGGAGTAACTCATCTTCAGCTAAAATTTTTCAAACCTTCAAAAAAAAAAAAAAAAAAAAAAAAAGAAAGAAAAAAGACCGTCCTCTGCCCCAAGAGCTTAGAGTGGGCTCTGCTTGCCAGAACCAAGCTGGAAATGTAATTCACTACACGCGCGACTGTGTGTGGTGGATGTGGGGCTGCGTGAGGGAAGGTGCTCTGCAGCTTTCCCTCCGCGGGGTGTTACCTGTTTGGATGACAGCTGTCTCTGGGTGTGCGGCCAGCAGACCCAATGTGTAAAAGTTGCTGTTGGGCACCATGTTCTTCTCAAAATCCTTCAGCGTCAGGGTTGGTTTAAGAAGCTGCCAGTTACTGTTATCTGGGAAGTGGTTGTTAATGAACAGAGCCGGGTGAGTCAGAAAATAAAACTCATTGTACCTGGAAGAGGAAGGAAGAGATTAAAGGAAGTGGTTGCAGCAGGAGGAAGGTGAGTGTTTTGGGCTGCTGAGAAACTGAGGTCAGTGGGTTTGAAGTTCTGCAGGCAGAGGAGGAACCTGAGCTTTGGTCTTCCATTTCCAAGGCACGTGCTGAGGTTTTGGATAAACCCAGGGCATTTTCACTACCCCCTGCAACCATGGGCTCCTGAAGAAAGAGGGAGGCACTGCTTGTTGTTTGAAAGTGTGGAGGCACCCTCTCTCAGGCAGCTGAAAGCTATGAATCAAGTGGCACGTGATATCGCATAAACTAAAGATGTGATAAGCCAGACTAGTTCACTTCTAGCAGATATGTGGCCTGCTGCTCCGGGACGCTGCCTTTCTACAGGTACATGCTCCATCCCTTGTATAGACAGCCCAGATACCATGTTCAGGGCTTTGAGTCTTGCTGCGGGACCTAAAATTTGTCACTGTTTGGTGTGCCAAACCCATCAGCTTGCCTTCTGCCTTTGTGGTAGGTTTACGTATTAATGTAGAAGATGGTTCTTTACCTGAAGGTGAACTTGGTGAAGGCATCATCAACATGACCGCTTCCCCAGGTGCTATCGAGTAAATGCCACCTTCCCTCAAGGTAGACAGCATTCCAGGCGTGGTCAGAGTCCCCTGTAAAGGTCTTTCCCATCTTGTACCCATACCCTTTAGAGTATCCTGATAGCTTCATGCATTGGATTCCTGCAATACTACAAGGAAACAACAAGATGCAGCGGGAGACTTCAGTTTTAAACCTGTCTACGTACTTCTGTGGAAGCACAAAAAAGCCTGCAGAACTTCAGTCCTGTGGTCAAGAGGACCAGCTTCATCAGCTCCTCAGGTGCCTCCTTGCAGTTGAATCCCAAGGGAGTCAGGGGTTTTAAATGTCTAAATGTGCAAGTGTACTTTTGTTTGAAAAGCCCAGCTTTTGACCCTGCTGACAGACTGTTGTGCCAAATGCCTAGGTTACTGCACTTTTTAATTCTTTGGAAAGCTTGCAGTTAGCTGGGGTGCTGTGCTTTTCTAGCTAGGGGGATCTCTGCACTTTGTACAGCTTTCCTCTGACTGCCTTCCCGTGCCAGCCTGTCAGCACATCTAGAGACAGGCAGGTTCTCCCCTTTGAGCACTGACATCGCGTAGAGACTGTATTTTTCTGTGCTGTGCTAGTGAATGACTTTATATGGGGCGGGCATGTGAGAGTGACCCAAGGAAATGATGCCCGAGGTGTTGTGTAGGGGCTGTTTTTTCTCGTAGCCTCTGCAGAGGGACTTGGAGAGGGCATCCCACTGGAGGAAGGGGCTTTGCTTTTCCAGTTTTTGCGTATTCCCTCTCCTTTGTCGGATGCACTGTCAATTCAGTGTTGTTAGAGGGGGATGACAAAGATGAAGTGTGCTTAATTGCTCTCTGACTTGTTACTCAGTGGAATCCCTTTGATGCTGTCCACAATTAGCCCACGTAATTATAAATTAAAAGTGCGTCTGTTCATGCTTGTGTTCTCTCTGTAACTGTAGACCCGGTGTTTGACACCGACTGAGATATCTTAGACCTCACGGGATTGTGGATGCTGATTTAGTTTCCTTGAAGAGTGAGCTTGTGCTTGCCCAGGGTGCAAGTGATTAAATAGTCTCCTTTAAAAAAAATAATGGATACCTGTGTTGAGGTGTAAATAAGATTTAAATAAGCACTGTGTTAATAAGCTCTCTGCTGTTGATAGCAATGGATTCTAACATTGGCAGCTTATTTCAGCATTAATCTAAAATTGCTTCACTTAGAGGACTGTCTTTTGTGTAGGATGGTATTGGCATTTTCCCTCTTCATTGAAAAGTACATTAAATGGAACAGCTACCTTAAGTAATGAACTGTGCATGCTTCAAGAGCAAGACTGTCTGCATAATGTGGGTTTAACTCAGAAGAAAAGTGGTATTTATGGGAAAGATAATTAGCACGGTTGTTAAGAAGTCGAGGTCTGATAACAGATACTGCCAACGGATGCTGGCTGGTAATTGGCAGTGCAGTAGTGCTTACAGGGAGGACTGCTTTTTTGATGGAGGTGATGCTGGTTTAAATGAGAGGTGGTCACTTCAGCTTCTCATACAGACTTATTGCCATACAGACTTATCTGTGATGATGATGATTCTACTGAACTCAAACCTTGGGCCTCTTTGTGTTAGTTAGTTATTTAATACTCTAAGAGTATCAAATTCTTACATTCTTTCTAAAATTCTTTAAGAAGGAGTATCAAAAATAGAATCACGACTGCAAAGGGCTGATTGAGCGCCAGCAGGGAGCTCCTGCTGGGTAGCCTGCAGAGAGAAGACCAAGTTACATGGAGAGGAGAAATGTGGCAGGACCCTATCTGTGCTAAAGATGGCCAGCAAAGAGGAGGAAGGAGCGTGCGAGGCAGCTCTCGTTCAGTGTGGGCTGTTACGTGGCGATAGCGGGGCGCTGCCGTCACACGAGGTGTTCAAAGTGGACGTGGCAGGGAAATGCCGTGGAGAAACCTGGTGCCACCGGTGGTCTGCAGGGTCTTCGCCAGCCCTCAGTCGCCTGTGAGGTAAATTCTAACGTGGAGCTGGGCAGTAAATCTGGAGCAACTCCACTGATAAGACCGGTGAGAGCTTGGATTTACGTGATGTAACTGAGACTAGAAGCTGGTCTGGGAGCTTTAAAGAAGATTTGATCCTAGGAGTTTCAAAGCGGCCTCACAGGAGCTAAGTACCAAATTCCCACTAATTTAATGGGGATTGGTGTCTAATCCTTCTAGGCTTCTCTAGACATTCTTGTTAGCTGGGCTATTGAGAGAGAACATTAAGGGACAAGTTCTGCCCTTCGTTCTCTCTGTGCTCTCGCTTGCAGTGAACGTTAGCAGAACAGCAAGAAGAGATTGTGCTTGGATGCATTTGAAGTTCCCCCCCAAAAATTCAGAGCATTTAAACAGTGGTCTCTCTGATAATGGACAGACAAAAAAAAACAGGCTAAAACTTCCTGTAAAAGAGCAGTCCTTTGTTGGTGAAAAGAGGGGTCGTGTCTCTGTTCTTGTGTAAATGACATTATACAGATGAATAAACCAAGCAGAGAGAAGATTGAGAAGAAATGCTTGAATTGGCAATGTGATGGTAGAAGATGCCCTAAATACAGGATGGACTCGAAAAACTGAATTAAGAAACAGTTGGCAGCATCTGCTTGGTGCAGCAACGAGTTTAAAAGCCAAGTTGCTTTTCTGCTTTGAAAATATTAGGAAATAATCTGGATCTTGCTACAGGTGTCACTGAAATTCAGTGGCACCTTCTTCCCTTTGATTTCAGGCTGACTTTGATGATTTCATCTGAAAAAGAAGCAAAGCTGGCTTCTCCAGGGGGAGACAGAATGGTTTATATTTGCGGTAGGTAGGTGTATGTTCCTGTTCCTGAAAAGAAGAAATGCTGCTGACTGTAGAAAACAGGAAAAGCAAGAGGATGTGAAACCTGGATTATTTGCAGGTTAGTTATGAATAAGGAGCAGCTAAGTGGTCAGATCCACTGTAGGGAGTGTGGTCAGCTTTTTTCCCAAAAGTGGTGCAGAAACCTCTCAAGTGCAAATAATTGCTTTGCCTTCATCGTTAATTCTGGTAAGGGAATTTCTCCCCAAGTCTGGACTGCTAGGTTTTGCCCTAAATTGAATTAATGAATTTATACTCCCTGGTTCACTCAGCCATGCTACCTCCTTGAGTTTTGTTGTCAGCCGGGAAGCCAATTCTTAATAAACACTGGTAAAATATTGGCCAGAAGCCTGCATTTACATTCATTGCTATTCCATCTGATGTTTGAAAACTGATGTTTTGCAGCCAGCTTCCCACCATGCGCGTCCACCTTTCCTCTGTGGCAGGAGCCTCAGCTAAGGGGAAGAAGTCTGACTGCCAGAGCTGTGGCCGAAGGTGACGCTGTTGTGTTGGAAACAGGAATTTTGCTCTCTGCTGGCACTGGGACGAGTAGGACTCCATCAGTGTCAGCTGCTGACTTCAGCGGGACATTTGGGGGGACTCCTGGTGCCTGGCAGATTGGGCTCTTTGTTAAAGTTGCCTCAACAGGAGCTAGGAAAAAAAGGAATGTAAAAAGACCTCCCCCCCCCAAAAACCCCTGGTCTCTGAAAAAACCTTATGTAAGAAGACAGCTCTTTGCCTCTTGCTTTTATGCTTGCACTCAGCATAAGACTTGAACGGTGCACGAGAAGAGGGGATGAGGAGATCCCCTTGCAAGAAAGAGGTGATGTCTTTGGTTGTAGTTTTTTCAGGAAGGGAGCTGAACATTTAGCTAATACTTGACAAAAGTAATAGGCTGGATGACTGGGAGATTTCCTGAATCACGAAATGAATAATCAACCTGCAACTGAGGAAAGAAGAGTAAATCAACAGAGCCTTTAAATAGTAAGAGATATCCTTGGAAAGATTAATGTTTTTAATGAACTAAACATATGCTTTTTAATGAACAGATGCAAATTTCCCCCACTTCTAACTGCTAATAACTGTTCCGTAAGATGCAGTTATAAATTTATACTTCATCATCCTATTTCTGTATTTTACTCTTCAGAAAGCGTATTGCGGGATGTGTTATTGGGTGGAAGCAGGCACCACATTAGCATCTGGCACAGTATTATTATTTATTTTTACATCGGTCCTTTTCCCTGTAGATTTTCTTTGTTTCATGGTGAAAACCTTCCCAGATCTTTTTGGATGGTGTGGAAGGCCAATCGTTACTTACACATGCCAATTAAAGACTGGCCTTTAATTTTTTTTCCAAAGCTAGCTTATAAATGGAAGCTGCTCTGCTGAGAAGGTGCTCCCTGGGAGAGCCACCTTGCAAGCCCAAGCTCTTAGGAAAGTACGCCATTGCTTTCTGGTGTTGGGAGTCCCCTTCCAATTTTGTGTCCCGGAGTCGTCAGATCCAGTTTTCTCCTCTTGGACAGCCCTGTTGCATCAAGCTGGTCCCAAACTGGCCAGGCAACTTCATTGCCTTCACTGCTCCTGTCAGCCAAGCTATCGGTGCAGCTGCGAGAGGTGAGATGCTGCTCCTTGCTGTGGGTCTTGAGGGTTGCCTTGCGCAACAGCCCTCTCCTTCTTTACTGGGTTGGAGAAGCGTGAGGGAGCAGGGACTTGCGCTGCACTCGTATTCAAGGTGCCCGTGCTCCCTGCCAAGGAGGGGGCTGCCTCTCCTGTGAAATGGCTTTGTGACTGTGAAGCCCTGCTTACTGGGGGAAATCCCATTTGTTTGTGCAGCTAATCCCCAGTGAAGTCAACAAGGTTTTGCAGGCAGGAGGATGGATTTTAGTCATTAAATGCCGACGTAGCTATAAAATGGGAATTGCAGTACTGGCCTCAATGATGGTGCACCTTGAGATTGAGTGCAGAAAACGGTGTGGGAAGTGTGAGGCAACGTCTCTGTGGTGCTTGTGTAGTGGAGAGGAGAGGGCATCTCCAGAGGGTTTTGGGAAAGCTCCTTCTGGGACTGGGCCTACCTCTTGCATGGGAGCATGTTGGAGGCATCACTCCTTGTTTAAGTGTTTTTAACCTTCACATACAGGTACTCAAAGGAAAAACCTGGCTTCTTCTAACCAAATTAGCTCTGTGTTTTCATCTGCCATTATGTTAATGCAATGCGAAGCTCAGCAGATGGCACAAAGTAAATTATGCAGGGGAGGGGAGGGTGGAGGGGGTGGAGGAGGAAGCAGAATTGACCTTTCTAGGACTTGCTGTTTTTCCACAGCATGGTTTGAAAGCTAAAGTTCCACGTCCTGCTTAAAGTCACATCAGTCAATGCAAAGGCAGACAGAATAAGCACAGAGAGGGCAACGAATGTTATCTCACCCTGGCGTTGTATGTTGCTGAGCTTAATTTACCGCACATCTATGGGTTTACTCAACCGCTGGCTTTTGTTATGGTAGCCCACTATGTCATATTCTGTGGGAAGGAACAGAGATGAAAGTTCATCCGAAAGCCTGAGGCAATGGGATCGACAGGCAGCAGGAGCAACGCTTGGACTGCTTTTCATCTCCGTGGGCGCGAGCAAAGAGAAGCGAGACGTGGCGCGTGCTGCGCAAGGATGTCGTGGGTGGCTGGTGGGGGGAGAGGGGCAAGGTCTACCCCTCATCACTGTTCTAAGCCTGGGCTGGTATTCAGCAGATGAATCCAAACAGGAGGAAAACTCTGGTTTTTGTTGGGTGGTTTTTTTGGTTTTGTTTTTTTAGGGAAACTGGGCCTCCCCAGGGGCTGCAATCTCAAGAGCTCCCGTAAAAAACCAGAGCGCTCTGCATTTGAAGGAGTCGGACTTGTGTTATCGGCAAAGGAAACCATTGAGCTTTTTGCGCTCTTTACAAGCAATTTGCATTGAAAAATACCTGGAAAGTAGCTTGTTGGGTAATACCTGAAATGATTTGTTGCAAGTGAGTCATATTAATACCTGGAAGCATAGGAAATCTTAATTTGTTTGAATGAATGCAGAAAAGTGGCACAGCAGGGTGCCTTCAGACAGAGCTTGAGGAACTGGTCTGGGAAGGTTAATTCAATATCGACCAACCTTGGCCATGTCCGTAACCTCTTTCTTAAAATACAAACATATTTTTCTGACAAAGCTAGTAAGGAATGCTGCATCAGCTGATTCATCCTCCCTTTAATGCTGCGGAAGAGGAAAAAAAGCTGGCAGCACGCTGTATTTGTGCTTTGAAGAAATGCTGCAGCCGCTTGTCTTTTGTCTGAGGGGCTCGGCTGACGGCTGCCTCGGGGTCGGCTCGTGGGCTGCAGGGGAAGGCTGGCTGCTCGACCTGGACATCTTGAGGGGTGTGGAGCGCTAGCTGGCTGCACATGGCTCTGTATTTATGCTAGAAATAATAGCTAAAATAATTTCTTTTAGTGCTACTGCTGCATGGAGGTAGCAGTCCATCACAGGCAGGCAGGGAGCTGGACGGGGTGGGAAGAGATACTCAGGGAGCAGCAATGTCCCTCAAAATGAGGTCCAAACGAGGAAGGACCAAGCATCGTCAGTGCTCTTCCAGGATAGATATGTTGCGGTTTTGTCAGCCGATTTAAATTCCTAGCGCTGTGTTTATTTCCCAGGCGTGTAAATAGGGGTCAACCTCTGCAGGAAGGAAGGAGAACCGGGGCCAAGGTGGTGTAAAACACTCTCGTGAGGAGAGCACAGTGTGCGTGTGAAGGATCAGAGACATCCTGTGAGTGCGTGTAAGGTAACTGGGCAGACTCCAGCCAGACCGGCTGTCCCAGGCAGGATCTGGCCCAGGCAGGGGCAGGCACAAACGAGTTCATAGCGTAAAGACTGAAGGATCGGCAGCCGGTGGGAGCTTGGTGCTGGGATGAGTCAAATGCTCGGTTTCGGGAAATGCAATGAAATCAGCAGTCTGCATATTTAAGGGCGAGATTAAAGCTGCTTGGGTTTGACCTAACTGTGCTAACCGTGCAGTTGCTGGCAATGCTCTGCTGATCTTGGTGGGCGTGAGATTGGGCCGGTGCTTCCCACATTGCTCTTGTGCTCTCTGTCATCTGCCCTGTTCAGCCAGCGAATTGCACCGCACCAGCGCCCGTCAGGATGTGGGAGAGGGGAAGAACAGCTGTACTTCTTCCCCTCTGCCCCCAAGAGTTAATGGCAAAGAAACATTTTTGCATATGCTGCGCAAAGTGCAATCACGATGCACATCCAGTATCCTCCGCCAAGGAGCTGGGGGTGGCAAGAAGCCTTTTGCCCTCTCTGATGTCCCAGACTGAAGAGGCTACAAATGCTGCCTCCTTCTGCTTCCTCGTCTTCTTCACACGTCTTGGTTATTTCTGAAACCTCAGTGTTGCTCAGGTTGGGGTTGGGTGGGAAGGGGCAGGGGAAGCTGAGTGATTGCAGCTCTCGTGGAGGTTGAAAGGGCGCACGTCCAGGCGGGAACTGCCATCATGCAGGTGCCAGCGTGTTTTATGGAAGCTGGCTTCTCTGCTGTGCTGCGCTGACGTGGCTGATGGATGTGTCAGCAGGGTGAACGCAGTTAGGTACCAGCTAGAAACTGGAGCGCGGGATGTAGCTGGGATGCACAGGGGCAAAGCTGACCATGAAACAGCCAAGAGCCTGCCAGAGGCAAGAGGGCAGCTCACCCGGGATGGGCTGCTCCTTGCGAGAGCTGCTCTGCTGCCCAAACAGGGGGAACAGAGGAGCTGCAGGAGCAGCTGCGATGATGCCGAGCTGGGCAAAGCACCTCAATGGTTCCTGGTGGCACCTACGCTGCGCTGAGACCCTCCCGGAGCAAAGGCACCGGGGTGTGGAGTGCGCTGGGGAGGGCTGCGTGGGGGTGCAGGGGTTCAGGGCAGTGGTGGAGGTGAAGATTCTGGGGGCACTGGGTGGCTCCAAATGTGACAACCAAGCCTCTGGTGCTTGGCACGCTGGCTTCCTGCTCCGGCTGCTTAGGTGGTAGGGACTCGTGTGGTTGCAGCCGTGAGTAAGTCGGGTGGGAGTTACAGATTCATCACGTGGAAAGAAACCATTTACACGCAAACCTTGTAGAGCCTGGCAGCACTGGGAGAGGGAGTATGGAAACAGAGCTGGTGAGATAACCTCTGGATACATTTCTGGGTAAATACACCTGGAAAGCCTTCCTCCCACCCACCACGTGGAACTAACCCACAGGGTACACGGTAAACTCTGATGGCAGAGCAACAGGGGTGACAGCGACAGCCTGACCTTCTCAGCTGAAGATCTCAGCCTACCTATGTGATGGCAGATCCACATCCATATGGCTCGGACTTTCTCCAGGTCAGTCCGGGCTAGTTTCAGCAGGGCTTTAACGAGTTCCTCTACGCTGTTCTTGACGTCTACCTGTTTGTGAGGAGGAAGCATCGCAAGATCACGGTGAAGCAATTGCTGTGGTAGATCTCCCTTCCTCCCCACTCCCTTGTTCTTCTACAGTTAGTGAGACCCCACCTGCCAGGAGACTGCTCTAACTCGAGCTCTGTCAAAAACAGAAATACAAAGCTGTAGTTCCACATTTTGAGCAAGTATTTTTGGTCATAGTTTCCCTCCTAGAGCAGGATCTCTGTTGCTGATGTGTGCAGGGAAATGGTTTTTCACTTCTTTGGGAGGTTTTGAGGCGCTCGCCCTGACAGCTCAGACTAAGCTGGTGTCAGTGCTGGTAGCTAGGTTTCAAGGAACATCCCCGTGGGGGAGCTGGGAGGGGAACAGAGGCAAAAGCAAGACTTACTTTTAATGCGTAGGCATCCAGCTTCTCAAATTGCTGCAGATCTACTGCCATGGATTTCAAAGAGGATTTGTCCCATGGATATGCTGGGAAGAAACAAGCTGTCATTGTCTCGGGAAGGGAGGGGGTATTTTTCCTGGCTGTACGCTTGAACAAGGGGACACGGCAGAGCTCCTGCCCGACCCGCGGAGGCATCCATCAGCGGGGGCTTAGGGAGCAGAGGACACGAGGGCGCTCGCAGAAAGCCCCTGCCAGCTGCACGCAAAGCAGGAGCCGTCCTGTCTAGTCTGGTGTAATTTGGGCAGCGCTGGAGCGGGAGGTGCCCCTGCGTCTTTGGCCCTGTATAGAAGATCCCAGGGTACTGCGTGGAGGTGCACAAGACGTAATGCAGAAGCATCAGGGGAAACCTGTCCTGGCAAAGCTATGACTTTTTTAAGAAACCAAACACCCAAGAGCTGGATTTCTCCAGTAGTTTTTCTGAAAGCAATGACTGTTTTGCATGCTACAGGGCCACAGTTCTGCACAAATCCAAGCACGTGAGAAATGTTATGTGGGGAGCGGCTGGACTGAAACCGGTCTGCCTACTCCTATGTCTGTGTCTCTGCAGGCTCTAGGCCTCTGGTTCTATTCTGTGTGAATGAAGGGTTAATAACTTGCCCTAATTAATCAGATATAACTAATTTTTTAGCAGTGTCTGAATGAGCTGACGCTGTTCTCTCTCATCAGTGAGCCACCCGAGTGATCCGGCTATAGCTGGGTGCACAGACGTATCGGATGGACATCTCCCCGGACCGCCGTCTGCTCAGCCCTCCCTTTTCTTCTGAGCTGGTGAGAGGAGAATTGAGCTCTACAGCAATCTCTTCCCCTGTCATGTGCTGTCAAAGCCATTCAGGACTAAAGAGATTCTTCTAGCTATCTCTGTAGGATTGTTATTTCTCTGGAAAAAAGTATTTTATAGAGATCACGAAGTGAAAATGCTGTTGCGTGACTCCCGAGTGCTGGGAGAGGTGAATAAATGGTGCCGTAGAGCTGCTGCTTGCCTGGAGAGAGGTGACAAGGAGAAGCGAACGGCCTTGGGCTGCACGTGGGGGCACAGAGGCTTTGGCTGGTTGCATCCTGCTTTGTTTGGAACCCTTGCTAAGCAAGCGGGACGCCCCTCTGCTGCCTGCTCGGCGAGTGCCGGTGGGAGCGGGATGCACAAGAGGCTCTGAGAGCACCCTGTCTTAGCTGAAAAACCGGCAGTGCCTATGAGATCCGTATTCATCACCCGCTCCCTCTCCATCTCCCCAAAACGGGGCTCTGGCCCCTTTGCTGCCAGCCCCGTCCCACTGGGGAGGTGGCTGGAAGGTCCGTTCCTGACTTGCAAAGGCGCTTTGTTAACGTGAGCCCTAGTCTTCTTGGAGGGGTTACGGGGCATCCCGGTGACGGTGCGGCATGCTGGGCGGGATGCAGGCACCCGGCACCCGCTGCCCATCCCTGTGCCTGTAGGCACACGGCATCTGTTTCTTTAACAGGCTTGTTTGTTTATCCTGGTTTTCCCTGAAAAAGGGCTATTGCGCTGACCTAAAGAGAGATAAAGCAGATTTACGCATTTAGAGCTTCCCACTCTCTACAGCTCTGAAAATTGCTTTTTGCCTTTTGGGAATGGGATGGGTTTTTTTAAAATCGGTTATCGGTTTTCGTCTTTGTCAGGTTACAGCTGCGGGCTCCGCAGTACCTGGCGTAGCTTGGGGCGGTTAGGAAGTGTGCGTCGTTCCCTCGTGTAGCCTTCTGCGGGCGTGGAGCCTTGGGAAGGTCTCGGGCACGTGTGACGTTCCCAAAGCCTTCCCCGTCTGCCACCCCGATAAACAGGGGCTTGGGAAGCTGAACCCTACTCATGGTAATAGAAATTAGATCCCTTGTCCACGTGCTTCCATTTAGGCTTACAGCAGGGCAAGCCCTGTTTCTGGGTCTGATGGGCTTTCTATCGGGGTCTGCCCCGCATGATGCCCCCCTGTGCCACCGGCATGGGGCGAGGGGACAGCTGATAGTTACCGTGCAGGTCTTTTGCTTCTGGCGGCCGTGGGCCTTCGGTCCTCTGGAAACCTAGAAAGATGGAGAAGGGAGCGTAAGGTGAGCAGTTGTTGGTAGGAGGAAAAAGACAAACAGAAATCAGTGATTTTGGGGAGCAGGACTGGGTGGGGAAAAAGCTACAACTGAGGCTTTTCTTTCCCCGTTCCTTTGTATTTGGACATGGACGTCAACACCCTGTGGAGGGGTGACAAGCCGCCCGGACAGCAGTGCGCTCTGCGTCCCCTCCCTGCTGCCCTGTGGCTCTGCAGAGGCCACATTCCCCAGCAGTCAGGCATCTCCTGTTCCAGCCCGAGGGCTGGGGACATCTAACCCCGGCCCACCACCCGGCCAAGCCCCCCAGGCAAGGACAAAGGCAGAGTTGAGCTCCAGAGCTGTTAGACAATAACCCTGCAGAGAGCTCTGCAGCAGGTGGAGGATTTGAGGGATGCAATAGCCCCTGGACTGTCACCACCCGCCTTATCCCGGGGTCTGCGGCCCCTCCCTGCCCCACAGCAGAAGGATTTTGCTCCTCAAGCCCCAGACGAGTCAGGGTCCAGCAGCATCTGCCTGGCAGGGAGAGCAGGCACAGGGGTTGGCATCCTCTCAAGAGCACCCGTGGGGAGCGGGGAGCCTGTAGCTCCTGGGAGCAACCTCCTGGGTGAGGGCTAGTGTGGAGACACGCGCCGCGGCCGAGCAGAGCCTCACCTTTGTTGTCCAGACCTCTCAGGCCGGGCAGCCTCTGGGAACCTGCAACAACCCCGGCATGGTTAGTGCCAGTCACCACAACCCCTGCCCTGGCTCGAGGAGTGCAGCGTCTCCTCGAGCTCCCGGAGAGCTTCGTGCCCTCCCTGCTGCTGCAGAGGGAGGGATGCGGCCCCCTCACCCTCCCATCCTCGACCCGCTCTGCCAGGGTTCAAAGCCCGGGCTGTACCTTTTCCAAAGGAGAGTTTGAAGCGTGGTGGGGTGGTATCCTTGTGATGAATCTCCACTGTCACTTGGGTTCCTGCAAGAAATGATGACAAACTCCCTAAGAAAGGGAGGGACCAGGACGCAGAGGAGAAGGGCAGGATCGCCTGCCGAGGCATCGCTGAAGCCAGCTCTTCACTTCAGCAAAAGAAGCATCAGCTCTGGTGTTTGCAAAGGTGCCAAAGCGCTTGGCTTTCCGGGCAAAGCAAAGCACCCTTAAGACAAACTGTACAGCCAGAAAGCCTCTGGTCACCTCTGGCATGACTTGTAATTCTCAAAAAATAAAAACCAGCCCATTATAGCCTAACAGGTGGTAAAGCGGCTCGTAAATAAAGCAGAGGTCCTCAGTGAGGATTATGTGACAGCTTAAAAAAAATGGTTTATCACCATATTAAATAGCTCTTGATGGAGATACGGTAAGCAGAGAATCAATTTCTTCCATTGATTTTTCTTGGAATCAAGCAGAAAAAGGCTCAGAGCTATGAAAATGGTTTGACTCGTGATATTAAAATCTTCGGCAGAGGCTGTTGCCTCGAGGAGGCAATGTCCTGGCAGGGCCGGCTGCGGTCCAGGCGTGCCGTGGGACTTGCGCTCTGCGTGCCGTGATGCTCCAGAACCAGCTCAGATGGAAATCTGGGGGCCTTGTGTTTAAAGCTTCATAGAGAGAAGTACAAGGAAAAAAGTTAGCGAGTGTCTTAGAAAAATTACCTGAGCTTTTTGAAAGAGACCATGTATTTTTTGGCAATTATTTCAGAAGGTTTTTGCAACCCTCGAGGTTCCCTGGAGGGCCTCAGCGTGCTCGTGGGCTCCCCGTTTCGGATCAGACAGAGGTTGCTTTGGAGACTGAAGGTCAAGGTGTTCAAGCACCTGGGGGCTGCCAGCCAATCGCATGTGCTACCTCCGACAATTTTATCGAGAGTCTCCTGGCATTTGGGATTTTCCTTGGAAGTCAGCTCTTGGAACCAGCTAATTAGGTAGGAATCTGCACTTTCATCCATGAAGTTTTTTCTCAGATTTGTTTAGAAAGAAGTTTTTTATCTCCTGTGATTGCACAGAAAATTTTGACGTCCTTTAAAGCCCCAAAAGAAGAAAGCAAGAAAAACTGTAAAAACTGTAAAACCCCCCTTTTAAATCCTAGAGTTTTACTCCCGTTTCTGGGATGCTTGTGTGTATTGGGGTGTCAAGATTAGAGCTGGTTGGTGTACCTTGTCAGTTAATTCAAAGCTAAAATGAAGTTGTTTCTCAAAGACGTGACTTTGTGCAAACAGTATAATTTCCTTACAATTTTTATATTTTCAGGGGTCCTTTTTTATTTCTCAAGATTATTTTTATCTTTGGGTTTTTATGAGTTTTCTTGCCAACTTCCACTTTCTTGGTTTTCCCGCATAAATTAAAATTGTTTTCGGGAAACCAATTTAACAGCGAGGAAGGCCTTCTTCCAGTAGGTTTAAAAGGCACTGAACAAGTGAAAAAATGTAATTCCACAGAAACTTTTCAGTGCATTACATCCATTGCTTTAAAAACTTACGGTATGAAGTGCTTACTGATGGTTTTATGACTTTTTTTTTTACTGTTCCTAATCAAAATATCTTTCATAAAGAAACATTTGCTCTTCTCCTCGTTCTCTGTGGCCATACTGGTCCTCAGGCAGCGAGTGCTTTGGGGCGCAGCTCCTGCTCCAGTGCAGGGATGGCTCCTAGCCAGGATCTACCCTGTGAACGGACTTCTGCAACCAGCTATCTTCAGCTAAACCTCTGCCAATGTTATTTCTTCCAGCCCTTGTGCCCTTCCATCGGCACTGGAATATCTGACGTTGCCAGGAGTATGTCAGTATTGTGCTTTCCGATTACATCTATGCTATGTCCTGGTGGTCAGGGGGGTGCTGGGAACCCAGGTGCTCTGTGACCCACATCTGTGCATCCATGCTGAAAGACCCAAGGATTCGCCAGGCTCCTCTGGATTTTTAATTCTTCATGCTCAAGATCACCGAACGGTCAGGGTGGGGCCTTTTCGCTCTTTTGGAGTGTTCTGAGGTTATTTTATTACAAAAAGATCTTGAGCGGGAGCTCGCTGAAGCCCTGCTTGGAGAAACCCCGTTATCCCTTGGGGTTGCCACTTACCTTCATTAGAGTACGAAGTAACAGCTTGTGTCTGCTTGCAGGGCTCCCTGGAGACTTGCCGGCCTGGCGGTACAAATTAAAACATCTCAGTGCCTGGAAGAGAGCGGAGGTGCCCGGCGTGGAGGCAGATTAAATTGTGCCTTTGCTCCGCAGCAAAGTAAGTGATGACACGAGAAGCCCGACCCTGTTCTCTGGCTTTGAAGCACAATTGCTCATGGTCCGGGTTCTCAGCATCTCGTCCTCATCCTCCTCTCTCCCTGCTGCGCTCTGGGCGCCCCTAGCCATCTCGCTGATGGATCCCTGGGGCGGAGGGAGGTGTGGGGAGCACCTGGCCTGCCCAGGGAACCATAGGCAGCATAAATCCGCTCCCCTGGGCTGCGCTGACAGTTGGCCAGGGCGGTCAGCAAATGCCAGGCGACACTGAGCCCTAGCTCCCGCGCGGCGTTAGGTGCTCGAGCCTTGCCGGAGGTGGGGTGGACGTTGGCCAGGACGCCAGGGTGATCCCCCTCTCTTTTTCGAAGCGTCATGGGATCGCCGCCCTGCCAGCCACCAGAGACCAGTGCAAGGAACCTGGTCTTCACAGCTCATCCTGAAGGCCGGATACCAGTCGTACCTCGTGGCTGTGACACGGATCAGGCCCGTGAATGATGGCATTTCGTGGCGCGGCATGGGGCCGCAGCCTGTTTGCCCCGGTGGGGCTGGGGTGAGGCTTATGCAATACAGTTTGTAAATATTGCGGCAGCACCAGCTGCTCGGTGGTGTCAGAGGCTTCACCAAGATGCCAGCACGGCTGATTAAAGGGGTATTTATTAACCACTGCGGTGCTAGAGGAGCGAGAGCTCTGCCTGCTCCTCTGGCATCTGAATAGTAATCCTCACGGGGATTTAAATCGTGCGTAAGGTAGAGCTGCAAGGGAAGGTTTGCCATATGCATACTAACGACTCCAGCCATTAGTTCGGGGTGGTGAATGATCGATACCATCCTCTCACTCGTAATGGAGGCTCTGACTTGTGCTCTGCAGCTCTGGCTGCAGAACCTCTTGAGCATGACAGAGAAGCGAGAGAGTGTTGAATATTTATCTGCTTCCTGGAGTGGAGGCTTTTGTTGTCTGGTGTCTGAGACCGTCAGGTTTGTGAAGACAGAAAAAAACCCCAAACTCCAAAGTTGTACCTTGCCATGAAATATTGCTTGCTCGCAGTCTGCGCACGCGATCCAGCTGCCACTGATTTCAGACGGGCTTGGATCGGGGCTCCTATCAAGCACCGTAATGGCTTTTGTGTGCTGCTGTTGCTTGGCCAGTGGAAGCGAAATTTGGTGTGACTAGAATCCACTCTTTGGTACCGTGAGAATTACCTGCTGTCTTGCTTTACCTTTGCCTTTCTCTGCTAGACACCACGTTAGGCTTAGACTACCGGGAAAGCAAGTTGGATTGTCCTATTCCCTTCCCTGGGAGCTGCTCTGTCCTGCTGCATCGCAGTCCTGCAGCCTGGCTGCATGCAGCAGGGGGTAACCCCTGCAGATGTTCCTTCTGAGCTGTTTCAGGGCAGAGGGGTGAGGAACTGGCAGGGGAACATTCAGGGCTAGCAGCCACGTCGTTCCTGGACAGCAATCACACGTGCCTTGCACTCGGCAGTCTCTGGGTGGGGGAGACGCAGAAGGCGTTGATGGAGAGGTGGGTTGAAACCCCAAAGGTTTCTTGCGCACCCCAGACCCTGCCTAAGCTGTCTGAGTGCTGGGGAAGTCTCTGGAAGCTCGATCTGCAACCTGAGCAATTTGGGGCACTGAATTTCCCCTGCCATCAGCTGGCTGTGAAACGCAAGAGCTCCGTGCACCTGAAATACGACCGAGCTCCGTGGCAGCTTGCAGGGGGGTCTCCCGCGGATGGCCGCGCGTGGGCTCTGCCGGGCCACCAATGTGCATCCTGGCCACGGGGCAGAGGTGAGCACGGAGGGGGCTGCTGCTGTGGCACGAGGCCTGAGGGACTCTGCGTGCCTCCACCGAAGCCCCCCAAAGCGCTGGAAAGGGATGGGTTGTTTCGAGCACCTTGTTGCTCGAGAGGCACAGCTGGGTGCTAAAAGCTTGCAGATGGTTTTTGTGTGCTGTGGTTAGTTTATCAGTAGAGTGAGAAGATGACATACCGGTACGGTCTCTCTCCTGAGGTGGCTGCGACGTGCTGTTTCCATTTCCGTCATCCTGCAGACCTATAAAATAGAAACGTGAGATTGGCAGGCTGTCCTTCTGGAGTGAGGTTCTGGCACTGCCTGGAGGGCGAGCACCCCAAAAACTTTCACGTAACCCATCGTTCCAGCTGAACCTGGATGCCATCGGGCTCCACCTTCCCTGCCTCAGCTGCAGCGTTTGTTGCAGCCTCTGTCACAAGAGCATGAAATACCAGGAGGAAGAGAGGGGAATACTCCACTTCTAAGCTGCTCCAGTAGGGCTTGCTTGTGTTTGGGTAGGTGCTGGATGCTCTGTTAGATGAAGCATGAACACAACTTCTGTATTGGCTCTGCCTATCCTTGTTAGCCTGGAACTGGCTGTTCTGAAAATCTAGCTTTTCCCCGAGGTTTTAGAGCAGGAATATGCCTTTTTCTCCTTTCATTTCTGCAGGGAGGGTCCCCTTACAGTTGCAGAGCACAGCCGTAGCTTTTTGGAAGATCCCCTGAAGGATAGGAGCGGGGCCAGGGAGACTGTCCCAAACTGTAGCTATAAATGGCTCAGGGCAGTCATCCTTGGAGACAAAGCCTAGACACGCTTCAAACAAAACAGTTTTGCCCCTGTGCTCCGGGCGCAGCGGGGAGAGCCTTGTGGGGGCCCCTCGGGGCCGCGGCAGGGCAGAGAGAGGTGCAGACATGGTCCTCGGATTAGTACCCACGCGTGTGTCCCCTCCTCCGGCACCCTGGGTTGCCTGCACCCGAGCCAGACGCCCGGCAACGTGCAGCACGCAGCGCTGCGCAAGCGAGGGCTCTCCCGCGCCGGGACAACCAGCCCGCCCGGGCGGGGACAACCAGCCGAGGCACGCTGGGTTTCTGCAAAAGAGAGGCTTGAGGTTTGGGGGGTTTTGCAGCATCTCTGCGAAGCAAAAGAGGAAAGAGAGAGAGAGGTGGGGGGAAAAGCCCCAACCCTGCTCCGAAGCTGCTGCATCGCTTCGCCGTCTGCTGCACCTGCAGCCCTGCCCTCCCTCGCACCGGCCGCAGGTGGGACGTTACCTGCGCTTCGGCTGCCTCCGGTCTGCCCCTCGCTCTGCCCTTTCTCCTTCCTTGCCGTCTCCTCAGGGCGGACAATAAGCAGCAAATTGATCGTCACTGCGCTGGGGTCGGTCTTGAAGTCCATGGTACCCATCAGAGCATGGAGCTGCTGCCGCCGCTGCGAGCGGCCGC